AGCAGCCTCTACTAGTATTCGTAGGTCTACTTACGTTCTATACCACCAAACGCACTAGAATTAGCAGCAGCCTTGTATTGTCACGAAAGCGGTAGAAGCGGTCGTAAGTCGCTGATGAAGAGCGCTCAGCGGCGCTAACTAGACTGATTCGCGATGAAAGGGTGCTCAATTAACAAGACGTTGCGTGAAGAACTATCTACAAGTCGGCGTGCGTGCGAAGAAAAGGTGGGCGACAGTCGCCTAGGCGGCTGTCGCCATGTCAACCAGTTATGCACACAACAGTATGGTGGGTGCGCAGTGTCACTCCGTGACAGATGCCTAGATCCTTCTTGGTACAGCTTAGGATTCTGTACTACTCCTAGAGGGTCCTAGGATCTTTGCATTTAGCTCTTTTATAGTTATAGGGCCTAGAGATCTTGATCTTAAGCCTGGGATACTTGCTGATGAACTTTTTGGCCTAGGTTTTGTCTACATGGTCTCGTTGGTAGGTTGGATCCTGATCGATCAAGATATCAGCCATAGCAGCTATATCATCAAGTTTCAGACTATATCCTCTAGCATCTATATCTAGGGCCTGTCTAATGACACTCTCCTGCTCTGTCTTGCTGAGCTTCTCATCTTTGGCTGCTTGGTCGGCTCGAGAGGGCCGTCCAGCAATCCTGAGTTGGAGGGTGTCGAAGTTCAGGCCCAGGGCTTTGGCAGCGGCCCTAACACTCGGAAAATCGCCTTTTTCGATGGATTTGATAGCCAGGTTAATTCTGGCTTCTTTTGACGCATCCTGGGGCATTGGTGGTGGAGGAATTGAGGTGTAAAGTTGATGGACATGTCTAGACATGAAGCTGACCGACTAGGGGGTCTGACTGACTAGGGGGTGCTACACGTTATAACAAAAATATTAAACCTTTTAAAAGCTAGGAGAAAGACTTGAATTTTCATTATTAATGCATGAAATTAATGTTCTAACCTATTGAACTATCCTAGCTTATATAAACATATTTTTTAATATGTGTAACCGTTCCTATCAGGGTATGACCCGCCCTCAGGGTATGACCCACACCCGCGTCCT